CAAAAAGGAAACTGGCAAGAAACACATCGGTTTAATTGTTTAATTGAATTTCGTGCCAGGCAAAATTTTATACCTGCCCTTCTACAAGGACCTCGCGGTCCTACCTGGACTCATCAGCTCTTTATGATCTTAAACATTCTCTTTTGCATTTCAAGTACAGACATACAGTTATTACCCACAGTAAGTATATCAAATATTTTTATTTACCCTGAATGCAAAAATGAAATAGGTTGAATGAATATATACATTTATTATATATTGTTATTCATACCACTATTTAGTTACAAGGAAAATAGTTAATATCTTTTGAAAGTGATTTTATGTTGTAACTAAGTGTATGTATTTAAGGTAACCCTGGGAGTCTGCCTCCCCTTCTTTTTTTTGATAATTGAGGGGCCCAGAAAAGCTCATGTTGCCTGTATTAATACACCGAGATGAATTTTTAGGCTTCATCATTCTGTCTTCCCAGAACACTGGCGAGCTGCTCTGACCAGAGCCCTCTCCCGAACAACCGGCTGCTCCCAGGCCCTAGGTCACTTGTACCACTCTGACCAGTTTCCATCTCCTCCCCAGTGCAGCCAGCTGTCTTCCCTCACCACAAACTGGGAGCAGGTTGCTCCTCAAGGTTGCTGTGAGCAGCATTGCAGAGCACGGAGGTCTGAGGGCTTCCATGAAAATGCCTGGGTACAGTCTCACTTCTTACCAAACAGGAAGGACGGTTGAGCATGTTCTCAATTGCAGGCTACTGGTAAACAGGAAGTATATTTCAGAGGGCCCCGGGGCACCAGAGAGATATGTGACTGCATAGTGTCCGTGCAGACTTTTGTGAACACTGTGTACAGAGAAATCCATTTATTAAAGTGACTAAAACACCATGGACGGAGAAGTAATTTAAAGTGAAATGAAAGTCACAGAGGCGGGTGACCTCCTAGGAACCGGCTAGGAACTGAGCGGTTCCCCTGGCAGGCAATTCCTGGGTGAGAGGGCAGCACTGATTTCTTCAGTGTAGAACATCAGTTGGTGTCCTGCAGATACAGAGACTCCTTTCTCTGCCCCTACCATGCCTCCAATTCCTGCCATGGGTCCTCCCATCTCCGCCCCCACGCCCATCAGCTCCATTGGATGCTCCCCTCTTCCTCACCTTCTTGGGCTCAGCATTATCCGGGATAATGGTGGGCTCACCCAGAGGCTTCATCTTTCAGGGCAACAGTGTCCAGTCTGCAGTCTGCACAGGTGAGCACTGGCAACCCCAGAGGTTACCCTTCAAAGGGCAGGCACAGAAGATGTGTATGTTCACTTAAAAAGAAACTTTGTGGCACTTGAAAATAAAATGTCTTGAAGATGGATGCCTTTATCTGACTCACATGCAGGTACCTTATAGGCTAGCAGTTGCCTTGATCCATTTAATCTATGTCACCTTAGGATGACCAATTCTTGGTATCAGACCCACATTCCTCAATTTGTCTGCATACTCCTAAATTCTGTGTCCAACCTTACCTAGTACATAGTCTATAATGTTCTTTACAGGATATACACAAGAATTAAATATCCCCTCCCCATACAATATGACCCCTGACCTCCACATCAAATGGGTGGGCCTTCTGTAACTGCATAAACCTAAATAGTAGAAGTGGGTCTGTTTTCTCCTATACAATGAACACTTCATTGTATAGAGCAGGGGTCAGCAAACTTTCTCTAAAGGGCCAGGTAGTAAATATTTTAGGCTTTGTGGGCCAATACATTCTCTGTCGCAACTACTTAATTCTACTTTGCAGTGTGAAAACGGCTGTAGACCATATATAAGTGAATGAGCTTCACTGGGTTCCAATAATACTTTATGGACACCGAAATTTGAATTTCATATAATTTTCATGTGTGATAAAATATTCTTTTGATTTTTAAAAATGATTTAAAGATGCAAAACCTATTCTTAGCTACAGGTTGTACAAAAAATGGAGTGGGCTGGATTTGGCCAGTGGATTATAGATTATGCCCTGTTATAGATACTTCCAACTCAAATATTTTATGATTATATACTTGGCTTGACTAGAAATTTTAATTAAATTAAAATTTAATTTAAGTGAGTCTTAAATTAGTGTAAGTATTAATTCCATTGATTAGGCATTTATGTTACAAAGTAGAACTACACATTTCTTTTTCTTTTTTTTTTTTGACTGGTAAGGGGATCATAACCCCTGGCTCGGTGTTGTCAGCACCATGCTCAGCCAGTGAGCACACTGGCCATCCCTATATAGGATCCGAACCTGAGGCCTCGGTGCTATCAACGCCGCACTCTACTGAGTAAGCCATGGGGCCGGCCCTAGAACTACACATTTCTTTTTGGAAAAAACTGTAAAAAAGGGAGTATCTTACTTATTCAAATAATTCCTTTTCTTTCTCCCTGAGTAATAGGCCAGCCCCATGACTACTCAGATGTTTACTGAGAATGGTGAAAAGAGCCTGTAAAACTGGACATCTGGACTCAGTGAATATGGTTTGGTGTCAGCCCCTTCCCTACAAGGGAATAACCTTGGAAAGCTCTCTCCCCAAACCCCATGCTCTAGGCATGGGTTCTGAGTCTGTCACTGACTTAAGCCGCTGCCTTCAACCAGCAGGGTTACCTTTCTGGTCCTGAACCACAGCGACCTCCTGCCCAAAGACACTAGACTGAACCTGCCCTGAACCCAGTTCAGCCTTTCCAGAATCTGGTCCTCAAGACAAACTGTAACTGTAGCTTGCCGGTGACAAACTGTAACTCCCTTTTAAACAAGGTGGCACAGATGAGCTTACTCTCCAACAGAATTGATCTGTCCCTCTTCCTGCTGGGCTCGAATGTCCACCTGTGCTCTTTCTGCTAAATACACATCCACCACTCCTCACAGGCCTCATCCCATGGCCCAACAGAGGAAGCTCTTCTAAAATTTCCTAAATGATCTATCTACAAACTCTTCCTCCAAACATCTTCCAACTCAAGGGGCACTTAATAGATAAAATAAATACCTTACAAGAGGATATGCATGCATTGGGCTGGGAGGCTGTGGATGGGTGTCCTTTTAACTCTTGCCACCCTGGATGGCAGGGTGCACAATGCTTAGTTAGAAAGTTAGCCCATTTTGGGGCCGGCCCGGTGGCACACTGGATAGTGCGCCGCTTGGGAAGCGCGGTGGCGCTCCCACCCGAGGGTTCGGATCCCACATACAGACCGGTTCCCGCTCACTGGCTGAGCGAGGCGTGGGAGCAGCGCCA